AGTTTTGATCTTGGGGAGGGTGTGTTCGGGGAAGAAACAGACCCAGTTGTCCCTCACTCGTGCTCCTGAGGGGGTGGGAGGTTGGGAAGAGGGTGATAGTAAGAGGGTGGGGGGAGTAGCGGAACAAGATGATTACTGCGTCAACTAAAAATTAATTACAAGTCGACTAAAAATCTGAACGTGGGCACCTGGTACTTGGGTTTGCACCTTAGATTACCTGATATTCGTGTTTACACCTGAGAATCACCTGGTATTCCTGTCCTATTTTCACCTGAGGGTCGCCTGTTGCAAAGCTTTCACCTGCCGGGCATTTGGGGACGTTGATGCGGTGCAGAGCGGTGAGCTCCCGAACCCTATCTCGCCAAGAGTATTGTCCGAAGCGGTCCTTGGCATCTGGCAGGCGGGCAAAAGGAAAGGGCAGGGGGATTCCAACAGGGATGAAGATTCAGGTTGAATCAGGTTGAACCAGGAAGGAGTGCAAGGGAGAACAGGAGCTAGAGCATCCTTGATACATGTGACATGCCGTAGCAGTGTTTTGTCGCCCTGGCAGGCCCAAACCTTCTCATCCCAAGATGCTTCTTTGACTCCAGAAGTTACAAGGGCAGCCACCAATAAGAATACAGCGCCCAGCAACAAACAGATGCTGCTGCAACAAACAGCAACTTACCAACAAAGAAGCCCGAGTCGGCACAGCAGTGTGTTGAGTCTTCGTGTCACAACCCACTAATGAAATGCTCGCTAACGAATCCAAGCACCAGAAACCGTTCAGCAACAACCAGATGCTCTCACTGACCAACAAAGAGGCCCGAGTCGGAGAGGCAGGAGGCTTGGGCGCGGGGGAAGGCGGCAGCGAGGCGGTCGCAGTGCATGATGATGGCATGGCCGCCCGCTGAGCTGCCCGAGAAGAGCACATGCGACGCCGCCCCCATGCCCCGCCGAGTGCGAAGATCTGCAATGGAGGGGGATTGGAGGAGCATTGGTTGGATGGCGGTGTGTGTGGGGGGGTAGGTGGGCGGCTATGCACTGCCATTTCTCGGCTTGGTTCCTCCCTTCTCTTCCCTTCCTAGTCTTCTCATTATCCACTCTCTGAATCCCCCTCAGCAGATGTGCCCACCTCCAAGTCCCCCCTCCCCATACTCCACCCTTCTCATTCCCTTTCCAGTCATTCTTCCCCCAGCGCACCGTCAATGAGTGCGGCCATGATCTCCCGCCCCTGCATGTACACAGATGCGCCCTCCCCCAGGTCCGCCCTCCCCCGCGTGCTGCTGTAGGCGCCACCATCACAGTACACCACCCACACCAGGTTCCACGAGTAAAACACGGGGTTGGCTCTCTTGCTCCGCGACAGCAAGCCTCCGAATTGAGGGTAGGAGATCGTAGCCTGGTGGTAGGGTAGGTAGGGTACGTTGGGTTGGTGTGGGTTGGGGTGGGGTGGGGTTGGGTGCAGTGCGGTGGGATGCCTTTCTCAGGTGCCACAGTCACGGCTGTAGAACAGGTTTTACAGATCCACTAGCCTCGGTTGCTCGCGCTGTATCCAGGGCTACATAACAGTCAGGATCGTTTTAGAGAGGGAGAGAAACGGGGAGTGACGAGGGACTTACATTCGGCACCTTCTTGCCGTTTTCAACGATGGCGGGGAGCCGTCTGGCCCAGAAGCGCGCGGAGCCGAGGGAGGAATTGGCGGAGTGAGCGGGAGAGGCGGAGGGAAAGGGCACACTCTACTCACATTCGGCACCTTCTTGCCGTTTTCAACGATGGCGGGGAGGCGTCGGGCCCAGAAGTGCGAGGAGCCGAGGGAGGAATTGGCGCGCTCGATGCATCCCTCTGGGGAGAAGCACCATCCGCCCTGGGGGAAATGCACGTGCCACTTGCGCCTCCCCGCGCCCGACCCCGCGCGGAAGTAGTACGCGGGGGGACTTGTGAGGGGAAAGGGGTGGGGGAAAAGAGGTGGAAAAGAAAGGGGAGGGGGAAAGAGGAGGGTGGGGGTGATCCGATCGTTCCATGATGGGAGTGATATGATTCTATGTGCATGGGTTAATGAGAAGGCATTTTACTCGAGGGCTGTATCTCTAGGCATTTTCCTCGAGGCATTTTCCTCGCGGTGTTGATTGCAAATTACGGTGTGAATGACCACCGCCGGCCGCACCTGCCGTCGAGGCATTTCGCGCCGTACGCGTTGTTGGGCAGCAGGATGAAGCGCGTCGCGGTAGTAGCGGATTTAAATCGGTTCTCTCGTTCCGCAGCGCACAGGGAGTTGGGCGGTGCAAGGAGCAGCGCGAGAAGCGGGAGAAGGAGCGCGATCAGAGGGGGGTAACGGGAGCAAGTGCTGAGTGACATTGGCGGATCGGGTCCCGCGGCGGGAAATCTTTCGAGAAGCGCGTTCTAACTCCGAGGCGCATAACTAAGTCTGAGCCGCTCGAAGCCGTAAATAGCAGGTTGAGAAAGCGTTTAGAGAGTGTTGCGATGCGTCCGCTATTCAGGTGACAGCTGAGTCGGCTTCACAGTCCCCTACTATCCGAGCATTGCAAGCTACGGCACCAAGCACTGCGTTCATGTGTCTGAACCAAACGCGGGAACGTTCATGTGCGGCCCCGCACCGCATCAAACTCTGGTCAGAACTCCGTTGGGCTTTGGCGAACTGATAAGGGGCTGGGCCGTTTTTCATTGACTGGAATGAAATGCTCGCCGCCACGGAGTTGTTTGCCTACTCGAGAGTCGAGAGTCGAGACGAGACGAGCCGTCTGACCGCCGGGCCACTGTCCGACTGGGTGGGACTGACAACGGCGGGTGGGTGAGACGTGGACTCATGTTTCCGTTCCGAGTCGGAAGGAAAACAGTGCCAGCCGTCTCTTCACGACCGCCAACTCACCAATAGGCGGCTCAGCGACATGTGGTGGTACTGGAGGAGCAATGAGTAAAACATGGAAAGTAAGGTGAGGTGTGTCGATCGAAATGGCAGCACTTGATGCTTTTGCGAGGAAGGAGAAGCCACGTCAGATTCTCAAGGATCTGGCTGGCAATTCAGATCATCATGTGCTATGGACGGAGGGATGGGGCAGACTGAAGAAATTCGTGTACAAGCTAGGTAGTCATGGTGGTTGGTTGCGATTGGGTGCGATGCGATGCGATGGGTTCACCTGGGGGGGATGCGAAACGCGATGGCAGGTTTGGTTGGGTGGTTTAACATTGCCCTGCCCACAGCAAACTGCAAATTTGCTGGAGAACCAACTTCGGTAGAGAGCATATGTAGCGCCTCGAGAATTCGCGAACAGCTCTCGCTCGCATCGATTCGCGCATGCTGTTGGCGGGCAAAGTGGGCCTTGCGAACTCAGAATGCGCTGTGGCATTGGAGAACGAAATGCCAAGCTTTGGTGTAACAAAGTGCATGTACTCAAAACAAATCCACTCGTTACTGGGACGCATACAAAACGAGGGCCGAATTCCGGCTGTACTCTGTACAAGGCTTTATTTTTAACGTTACAAGATACAGTTACACTAAAATAAGGGCTGCAATCCCAGTTCGTGACAACATCTAACCGCACACACCTTGGCGGAATCCCGACCCTATGCTTTGAACACTTCCGAAATCCGGCGTTTGGATCGTACATGACCCCAATAATTGTGCATTATAGTTTCCATCACTTTGCTCACATGCGATGTTCTTCGCCTTGGTAGAAGCGACCCTCGCTCCCGTGCATAGTTTCATTAGGAATTTTTATATTTCTGGAGAATAGGACAAGCAATCACACCCCAGAAGAACCATGCTTGAGATTAGTTTGATGACAAACTCCATAAAACATGTTGTGAGTTGTTCAACAAATAATCTTCAGCAGATGCTTATGTACTAAATCAGCACTTTTCAGTAGCGGGCTTGTTGCCTATATCCTGAGAGCGTCATCTGGGATGGACGGACACGATCATTCCTTCATCTGAGCCAAGACTGGATTCGCCACATCTCTCACGTGCTTCCCTATTGGTCGCAGCGATGTGGCGATTGGCTGCCTTCCACATCCGCTCTCCGTGACGTTACGGCATTGGGCACCGCGCTCCTCCTGGTGCGGTCCGACACACCCCTGATTCTCCAATCTCCAATTCCGCTGGGAAAGCGAGCAGGCAGGCGTGCCTGAGGGGAGTGCGTCCCCCCCAAGCTGAGCAAGCAAGGCCTCCTCTCTTGGGGTTCTTCGGCTGGAGCTATGAGAAAGAAGGGAGTGTGCATAAAGCTACATCTCTGACACTTTCACCAGTTTTGGCAAAATAAAGACAGCCTGCACGGTGCACTTGAGGCCCGTGCCTTGGTATTACTGTGCAGAATCTGAAACATTGCTCCAGTTTTTTGTCCGTAGTTGCATGGCGTTCCGGGTCTGAAGGCACGCTGGAGGCTAGGAGAGTGTGCTAGAGTAGCATAGCGGCTTGGTCAACACGGCGACCGCCGTGTGGGCCATCCCGGGCCGTAGCGCCGCTGCTAGCTACCTCATGGCTCACCATGGCACCGGGAATCCTCGCTACGGCGGCCATTCTAGCCAGTTCGGCGACACCACGCTCACCAAGGTCTTCGTGGGAGGCCTTGCGTGGGAGACTCAAACGGAAACCATGCGCAAGTATTTTGAGCAGTTCGGCGAGATTCTTGAAGCGGTTGTAATAACGGATCGTATGACCGGCCGCTCCAAAGGCTATGGATTTGTAAGCAGCTATTTAGCAAGTTTATGTACTAATCCAGAGCTGCACAGTACACCAGTTCCTGTTCCAGGAAGCATCAGCCTGACTCTCATGACAGTAGGATAACTCGCCTCCCTCCGTTTCAGGTGACTTTCAGTGACCCAGAGGCTGCACAAAGAGCGTGTCTTGACCCGTCGCCAGTCATAGACGGTAGAAGGGCCAACTGCAACCTCGCTTCGTTAGGACAGAAGCAGCGTCCGCAGCAGCCGCGAGGACAGCAGGGTAAGAATCTCGCCGTCCGATAAAGTTTCAGCTGATATTTCTTTACGCTAGCTACCTTCTTAATGTCGCTTAATCTCTTTCCTCCACTAACTGCTGAATTTCTGGTAGCAGGTGGAGTGCCGTTCGGCGGGTACCCACAGCAACACCCGTACCCCATGTACCCGCTACAGGGCTATCCCATGTCACCCTTCGGGTATGTTGCTTTAGGCTCATCATCCCTCCTGGTCCCTCTAGTTAAATCTTCGATCTGCTGCTCACTCTATGTTTCAAGATCTGTATGTTCTTTCCATGTACATCATCCTCCAGGTACCCTCAGCAGTTTCAAGAGGGAGCCGGCTATGGGTTTCCACAGGTATATAACATCTACCACCATTCCGTTCTCCCTACACCCACGGTACCCATCTATTTAAGCTCTTTTTTTTTGTCCTGTCCTTCAGGGAGTGTTTCCGCCGTACGGTCCTCAGGGCTTTCCAGCGCAGCCAGGGATGTTTGTTCCGCCTGTAGGGACAGCCACTCCTGGGGCCATGTATCCCGGATATCCTCCTGCCGCTTTCGGGCCGACGCAAGCGGCACAGGCAGCAGGGGGATTTCCAGGAGGCCCTTCTATGATGCCGTCCGCTACGCAACCAGCTGGCGTTGCTGGCGTTGCCGGCGTTGGTGCTGCTGCGCAACCTTTTGGGTTCCAGCAGATGCAAGGAGGACAACCCCAAGGATTTCAGGGGACGGGCGAGCAGCAGCAGATGGGAGGTGCCAGCCAGCTTGCAGGAGGCCCTGGGGCGCAAACAAGCCAAGGTGAAATGTTGTGATGAAAACAGTAGCCCCTCTTTCGATCCCTTAATCAATACAGTATCTGCGTGTAGATTCTGTTTTTGATATTGTTATCCCCCTACGTTTCCAATTGTTTATCTTATGCAGGTGCACAGGAAGGGACCGGAGCAATGCCATCACAGCAGCAATACGGAGTCCCCATGCAAGGGGGTCAATCGCCATACTCGGGGCAACACCAAGGGCCAACAGGATAGGATGACACTGAACTAAAAAAAAGTGAAGATATTTGTGTGCAGTTTTGCTTCAGGTGACATCCAGGGTGTCTTAGTCGTGAAAACTAATGACTAGTGGAGCAACAGTGTGCACACCCTGGTTGTCATAATGTGCATACTCAGATTATTTCATTGCTTTCTTCCCAAGATTAACAAATACACAAGTCTAATTACTTAATATTGTTATTGTCACAGATGCTGCTCAACACCTCTTTATCTCAAATTCTAACCGCAATAATACTATATCGAGTCCACCCATGCCCAGCTTCACAAATTGGACATCCAATCCAACGCGAATAGAATCCACCCCCCAAACGCTAGTCACCTCCTAACTTGCACACAGCCAGCTGTTTTTCAGCGCGTCGAACTGTACACATTTGCACGGAATTCTCGCAGCGCAGTGTGTCGAGGGGGCAATCCATGGCGAAACCTGGCGGCACAGATGGGCCTCGCCCGCGCACAGGTGCAAAATTTCAAGGAAATTCAGGCTCGGGCAGACGACAGGAAAAGCCGAGTGCGGGAAGGAGGCAAGAAAACTCAAGTCCGAGTGCGGGTAGACGCCAGGAAAAGGCGAGTGGGGGGCGATCCGCTCACGCGGACTCTAGCAGGGTGCACGCGCAGGCGGCAGCGGCCGTGGAGCGCATATTGCGCGCGAACGAGACGAGGCGCGGGGGGTGCGCGGTGAAGGGGCTGACACTCGCGGAGGGCAACGTGGCGAAGCGCGCCACGCACGCCGTCACGTGCGAGACGCTGCGATGTAAGGAGCGCTGCGATGTGAGAGGCCCTGCGATGGAAGGATTGGATTGCTGAGGTGTAACGGACGATGCGTTTAAGGTTTCTGAGGGGTAGATTTAGCGCGTAACGCTCGCCATAGCGGATGTCATGACCATTTACCTTTCTATTCCATCACAAACTTCTAAGCCTGAACCCTGAACCCTGCTGGTTCAGGGGTTAGTGCTTTCAAGCCTTTGTCTGCCTCACTCGACCCTTACATTCTCATTACTGCCTCTGTCTGCCCTTCTCTACCCCTCTCTACCGCTCTCCACCCCCCCCTGCCCCTCTTCACCCCTCTCTACCCCGCCCATCAGACCTGCCTGTGATCAAGGATCTCATTGCCGCAACAGGCCTCGTTAACAGCAACTGGATGAAGGTAGGGGAAGGAGGGGAGAGGGGTTGCGGGTGGGAGGGGTTTGAGGGGGAGGGATGGACTAGGTGGGGGTGAGGGTAGGGAATATGGGGTGAGGGGAGGAGGTTTGAGGGGGGAGGGATGGACTAAGTGGGGGGGAGGGAATATGGGGTGGGGGGAGGGAATATGGGGTGGGGGGAGGGAGTGGAGGCGAATGCACTCCTGTGCACCTAGTGCACCCCAGTGCACCCCATTCCGCCCCAGTATACCCCAGTTTTTTCAACTTGCAAAGCCCACATCGCTCCACTCGAGTGAAGGAGCTGATTACCCATTTGTACCTTTCTCCACCCTCCCTCACCTTTGTCTGTGTGGCAGGCCAAGCCCCACCTGGTGTATGTGCTCGTATATGACTTGGTGGTTTCTGGCAAGGTGAGCCCTTAAAGCCCCACCTGGTGTATGTGCTCGTATATGACTTGGTGGTTTCTGGCAAGGTGAGGCATACTTTCCTCTCCTCTCCTCTCCTCTCCTCTCCTCTCCTCTCCCCTCTCCTTTCTTCTCCTTTGCTCTCCTTTCCTCTCCTCTCCTCTCCTCGCTTCTCCTCGCCTCTCCTCTCCTCTCCTCTCCTTTCCTCTCCTCTCCTCTCCTCTCCGCGCCTGTTCTCTCCTCTCCGCGCCTATCACTCATCAGCTTTCCATCGCTCTCACATCGCCAGATGCCCATGCCTGGGGTCCATTTATCCTTCCCATGATCCGACCCCCCTGCCCCTGCCAGGGTACACTGGGGTCAGGAGCGGTGCAAAAGGTAGTGCTGTCACACAAGAACGTCCTGAGAGCACGCTTGCCCGGCTGCTGGAGAACCCTAAACCCTTGAGCATCAACCCCTTTAATGCCTTTTTTCCATCACAGGGTACACTGGGGTCAGGAGCGGTTCAGAAGGTAGTGCTGTCACACAAGGCGGCTCTCAGAGCGGCGCTGGCTCGGGTGCTGGTGAAGCAGCGAGCTGCATCAGTGGAGGAACTGCTTGGTCCCTCCAGTGACCCACCTGTTGCTGCCTGTGAGTCTCCTCACTGCCTCCCCACTGCCACAACTCTGGGTCGAGTGAATCTCTCAAAGCGGTGCTTGCTCGGCTGCTGGTGAAGCAGCGAGCGGCATCAGTAGAGGAGCTGCTTGGTCCCTCCAGTGACCCGCCTGTTGCTGCACGTGAGTGAGTCTCTTGGGAATTCTCAAGAGCGACCCAGATGCTGCATGTGAGTCCCGTGACTGCCTCCTCACAGTGGTGAAGCAGGGAGCAGCATCAGTAGAGGAGCTGCTTGGTCCCTCCAATGACCCGCCTGTTGCTGCATGTGAGTCCCATGAGATTTTTCCAAAGTGCGTGTGCCACTTCCACACTGCGCGTGCCTCCTTGATAATCACTTGTTCACTCGTGCACTCGTTCGGCCTCAGAGCGGCGCTGACTTTTGAGTCGACCCAAAAGTCACCTCGTGCACTCGTTCGGGTGCACTCGTTCGGGTGCACTCGTTTGGGTGCACTCGTTCGGTCTCAGAGTGGCGCTTGCTCGGTTGCTGGTGAAGCAGCGAGCAGCATCAGTGGAGGAACTGCTTGGTCCCTCCAGTGACCCGCCTGTTGCTGCACGTGAGTCCTATTGCCTCCTCCTCCCCACTCCCACCTCCTTGGTCTAGGCAACAGTCACCTCCTCTCAGAGTGGTGCTTGCTTGGTTGCTGGTGAAGCAGCGAGCAGCATCAGTGGAGGAACTGCTTGGTCCCTCCAATCACACACGCGCTTTGCTAGTGCTTGTTCTTTCATCTCTCCCCTTCCGCCCCCACTATGTGCGAGTTAACACCCAGCGCACCGCCAGCCACATGTTGCGCGTGCCTGCTTACTCACCACCCTCGCTTTCATCCCCCCCTTACGTCCTTCCCTCCACAGACCCCTGCAATGCGCGAGTCAACACCCTGCGCACCACCACCACCGATTCAGTGCTGGCGCACTTTCAGGTTGTCACTTCCCAAGAGGACAGTGGCAGGGCCGCGGAAGATGGTCCTCCTCTCCCCCCCACTTCCCTCCCCCCCTACTCCCGCCACTGCAGACCCCCGCTATGCACGAGTCAACACCCTGCGGACCACCTCCGATTCAGTGTTGGTGCACTTTCAGGCGGGCACTCCCCAAGAGAATGGCGGCAAGGAGGGGGGGATTGATGCAGGCGCTAGCAGCAAAAGTGGGGATGGTGAAAGTGGCGCTAGCAGCAGTGCAGAGAGTGCAGGTTTGAGGGTGGAGGGGGAGGTTTCAGTACAGCAGGACGAGCTGATCCCAGACGTGCTTGTCTTTCCCCCGGGCACAGAGCTGCACCGGCACGCTCTGGTAGAGAAAGGCGACCTCATTCTGCAGGTGGGCGCATGGGTGGTGAGTGTGTGTGTGTGTGTGTGTGTGTGTGTGAGAGCCTCTTCACCCAGTGAGCTGATTCCAGACGTGCTAGTGTTTCCCCCGGGCACAGAGCTGCACCGGCACGCTCTTGTGGTGGAGAGGGGTGACCTCATTCTGCAGGTGGGTGGGTGGCGTAAGTGGCACGGTTGGTTGACCTTATCTGGCTGATTCCCAGCGTTCATCCTCGCCAAATGCCCTCCTTGTCGCTCATGTCTCATGTCTTTTAAAAACTCTGTTTTGATCCTGCTTCTCCACCCCCCTGCTCTTTTTCTCTCTGCTCTCCTTCAGGGTCGCGCCAGCTGCTTCCCCGCGTTCATCCTCGCGCCTCGCCCCGGGTGGCATGTGTTGGACGCATGTGCAGCGCCGGGCAACAAGACATCCCACTTGGCTGCACTCATGGCGAACACAGGGCGGCTCACAGCATGCGAGAGAGATGCCAAGAGAGCTGCTCTTTTGAGGAAGAATCTGGACAAGGCCGGGGTGACGTGTGAGTGTGCGAGGGGTGATGAGGGGTGATGAGGAGTGATGAGGGACATCCCACGTGGCTGCACTCATGGCGAACACAGGGCGGCTCACAGCATGCGAGAGAGATGCCAAGAGAGCAACGTTGCTCCGAAAGAACCTGGAGAAAGCCGGGGTGACATGTGAGTGTGCTGGAGGTTATGAGTACGTGCAGTGTGGTGGAGGGTGGTGATGGCAACAAGACACCGCACCTGACTGCGCTTATGGCAAACACAGGGCGGCTTTCAGAAGTGTTTTGAGACGTCTCAAAACACTTCTTCAAACTTATGGCGAACACAGGGCGGCTCTCTGCGTGTGAGAGAGATGCCAAGAGAGCAACACTGCTACAGAAGAACCTGGAGAAAGCAGGGGTGACATGTGAGTGACTGTGTGTTTGCTGAGGTTCACAGAAAGGCTTTATGTGAGTGCGTGGGAGTGAAGGGTAACAAGATGTCCCACGTGGCTGCATTCATGGCCATAGGTGTTTAGGTGTTTCTCGAGGTCCTGACTGGCCGTATGTGAGTGTGTAAGAGGTATGGTGCGTCCCTTTGTGAGTGCATGAGGGGCAAAAGGTGACCACTAGAGGCTCTCTCGAACTTCTCAGAAGTAACTCACTCACGCGGCAGCTCTCATGTCGAAAGCTCTCGCCCTCTCTCTCTCTCTCTCTCTCTCTCTCTCTCTCTCTCTCTCTCTCTCTCTCTCTCTCTCTCTCTCTCTCTCTCTCTTCCCCCGCCTCCCCTCTCCCCCTTTGCTCCTCGCCAGGTGCACACGTGCATGAGGGGGATTTTCTCGCCATCGACCCTGCCTCACCTGAATTCGCCGATGTGAGCTCCTCTCATCTCCTATCCTCCGACCCCTGTGTCGTACGCATGCCAATGCGTCTTCCCTTCCCCACCCTCCTCTGCGCTATGCTGCTCTGCACTGCGCTGCTGTGACCCTCCTGCTCTGTCCTCCAACACGCTTTCTCCCCTCCCCTCCCCCCTTCAGGTGCAAGCCATCCTGCTCAACCCCTCCGAGGAGACCTGCTCCTTTCTCAATGGGAACCCCTTGCGGAGTAATGAAGGATTCGAAACGCAGCAAGTCGTGTGGTCGCCGTTGAAACCCCTCCGAGGAGACCTGCTCCTTTCTCAATGGGGCCTCGTTGTGCGCCCCTGTGTTGCGTGTGTGCTGCTACATCCTTCCCTCTCCCCCAATTCCAGGTGCGAGCAATCCTGCTGGATCCTTCTTGTTCAGGATCAGGCACTCGGCACTCCCGAGGGGACCTGCTCCTCTCTCAGGGGCCCGCATCTTCCCATGACAGGGCTGGCGGGAGAGGGAGCAAGGGTGGGGAGAGTGGAAGGAGAGGTGGGGGGAGAGGCGGGGGGAGAGGCGAGGGGAGAGGCGAGGGGAGAGGTGGGGGGAGAGGTGGGGGAAGAGATGGGGGAAGAGGCGGGGGGAGAGGGGGCAAGGAGGAGGGGAATGGGGGGATTGAAGGAGCAGAGGCCAGCAGCGGACGCCAGGGGGAGGACGAGCGGGTGGAGAGATTGGCTCGTTTCCAGGAAGCCGCGCTGAGGCATGCCCTCTCATGTACGTTTTAACTGCTCATAGTTCACTTCTCATAGTTCACTTCTCATAGTTCACTTCTCATGATTGGGCATTCTGCGGTATTAAAACTGAATTAAGAGCATGCACTGCACTGTACTGCTCTTAAGAGCAGGACTCAATCTTCTCCTCTGTACCCCTCTGTACCCCACTACACCCCTCTCTTCCTCCCAGTCCCAGCGGCACAGCGAGACACCTACAGCACCTGTTCAGTCAACAAGAGGGAGAACGAGGCCTTGGCTGCAGCACTGCTCCCTGCTGCAGGGTGATTGAACCACACCTGCAATTTCTATTCTCCTCTGCATCCAGCAGCAGAGCGCATCACCTACAGCACCTGTTCAGTCAACAGGAGGGAGAACAAGGCAAAGCTGATGACAGACAGTGCAGCCTTTGAAGCCCCCTGCACCCCTTTGCACCCCTCTGTACCCCTCTCTACCCCCAGTCCCAGCAGCACAGCGCGTCACCTACAGCACATGCTCCGTGAACGAGAGGGAGAACGAGGCAGTGGTAGCGGCAGTGCTCCCTCTGAAACCCCGTTGCACCCCTCTGTACCCCTCTGCACCCCTCTGCACCCCTCTGCACCCCTCTGCACTCCTCTGTCCGTATCCCCCAGTCCCATCAGCAGAGCGCATCACCTACAGCACATGCTCCATCAACGAGAGGGAGAACGAGGCAGTGGTAGCAGCAGTGCTCCCTGCGGCTCTCTCCTGTGGCTTCCGCCTCGCCCCGGCCCTGCCCGCCTGGCCCAGGAGAGGGATGCTCTCCTACCCTTTTGGTAAGTACGCCCCTTTCAAATCCGCCATGTGAATCACGTGAACAAGGCAGTACTGGTGGCAGTGTGCTCCCTGTTGCTATCCCTGCTGAACTGAAACCCTCCCCTTCCCTGCTGCCTTAAATCCAGAAACCTCAAACCTGAAGTGGTGAAGCCAAACCTCCAGTACCTCTTGCCCCCCCCCCCCCCCCCCCCACCTCCCTGCTGAACTGAACCCCCCCCTTCCCTCCCCACACTCTGCAGGCCACCAAGTGGTGCGCACAGATCCTGCCACCGATGGCACCGATGGATTCTTTGTTGCACTCTTTGAGCGCCACGTGGCAGGTGTTGCTGACGTGGCAGGTGCTGCTGACGTGGCAGGCGTTGCTGATGTGGCAGGTGCTGCTGACATGGCAAGCATTGCTGATGTGGCAGGTGCTGCTGATGAGGCAGCAAATGCTGATAGAACAACAGTGATGACGGGAGCAGAGGTAGCAGATGTAAAAGCAGAAACAGGAGCAACGGCAGCAGCAGCAATGGCAGCAGCAGCAATGGCAGCAGCATCAGCAGCAGCACCAGTAGCAGCAGATGCCGTAACAGCCAGTCCGGATGGAACAACAGAAATGGCGAGAATTTCAAGTAACAATATGGCAGATGTTGGTGATGACAGTGATGCCACCAGAGCACATCCTGACGTTCGGACCGAACCTCAGCCGGAGGTTCGGGAGTCCCGTGCTGCTAAAAGGAAGCGGCAGAGACGAGCGAAAGCAGCAATGGATGAAGGGAACGTGAAGGTTGCTAGAGGAACAAGCGAGGTAGGGGGAAACCCGACACGTGGGGAGTGAGAAATGTGAGGATAGGGAGGGAGGCAATGGCATGGCAGCCAATTTTGAAGTTTCATGTACCCTACCACCATCTACCAGTATATACATCCCCATAACTACATGGTACCATTCCCAGTCAAGCTGCATCCACCATTGTGTGTAGCTAGTGTTGCCTCTTGTTCCTTACGACTGCCCTGGTGCAAGTCCTATTACCGTACGGTACCTCTGCATATAGCTTCTAGCTAGTTTCTAGCAAGGGGTACCCAAACCAACCTACGGTAACCAGCCACATTGTTAAGAAAAGTGTGCTTGACTCGGCGCCTAGATTTTATTGATATCGATCAACGTGCAGCGTTGCCAATGCAGCCTCCATCACTTGATAATTCCACTGCTGTAGGCCATATTTACGCTGAGTGTACTCTCTAGAAAGAGGCACAAGACAGCTGGGTGCAACACTCCAACTAGGCGGCGCCACAAGACATGATATCAATCAACCTGCAGCGTTGCCAGTGCAGCCTCCATCACTTGATAATTCCACAGCTGCAGGCCATATTTACACCGAACATACTCTCTTGCAAGAGGCACCCAGCTGTCCACATCGCTGAGAAAAGCACGTGCAACACGGGCGAGCGTGTGATGAATGCTTGCACTCAGCCATTGTGGCTCCGAGCCCGCTGTGCCTTTCTGCCTTTGCTGCTGCATTTGACGGCTGTGCTGCAGGTGCTGCGGTTGCTGGTGCCTTTGCTGCTGCTGGTGCCTTAGCTGCTGCTGGTGCAAGTGTGCATTTATGTGCTTGTGAATGTCGAAACGAGTGTGAGCGTGTGAGGGAGGGGGGTGGGCCAACCAAGACGCACACGCTAGGAAGGCAGACGTATGCTGATGACCGTCCTGTGAGACGCACTGGTCTTTGTCTGCACTGTGGTTGATGGATTCAAGAAGCTGGGAAAGAGGCTGCAGGGGGCATGAAAACGCCTGTGGTTGCTCCAGCAGGTGAAGCACATGTGAGAAACAGCCATAGTTGGTTGTCGGGCACATGTTGGTGGGTGAAGAGGGGTGCAGAACGGTAGCTGTGCAGGAGGCACGCAGGTCTGGGAAGGTGTCTCCTGCTTGGCACAGCTGGGCATGGAGCAGCGACTCACACACCTCCCATGTCACACCCTCACTCTCACTCGCCCGCCCACTTTCTCGCACACTCGCTCCAGCAATTCCCCTTTCCTCTTCACTCCCTGCTCTTCCCTCCTTACAATCCAGTGAGTTTAGAATTTGAAGCTTGCGTTGGGGAGGGAGGGAGTGCGACCAGCATCGCAGCCCTGCATGGAAAAAACCCTCCCAGCTGCATGGGGGAGGAGGCATGGGAAGAATGGGCATGGAAGGAATTTTGAGGCGCCTCAAAAGCTTGCGTTGAAGAGGGAGGGAGGGAGTGTGACCAGCATCGCAGCCCTGCATGGAAGAAACCCTCCCAGCTGAATGGGGGAGGAGGGAAATGGGCATGAAAAGAACGGACAAGGGAAGGCATGAACAAGACTTAGTGCTTTATGCGAAACAGAGAAACCAAGGAAACCAATACAATAATGGAGAATCGAGAAACACGTGCTCCTGAAAGGAAGGCCGTAGGAGCAAAGGGAGGGAGACAGAGAGGACTCAAGAAAGTGTCATACGTGTAAGGAGCGTCCACTTCAAGAGCGAAGGTGAGATGCAAGGAGGGCTCCTCATGTGAGTGTAGACCAAGGGGTTGCTGGGACCTGACTGGAGTGACTGAGGTGGCCTCACAGGGAGTGCAAGCCTCATGGGGGTACCCTCTGGGGATGTAAAGCACATCTCCTTGTCTCAGTTTAAATTGCCGCCCTATTGGAACCCACCCCCCCTCCTCCTCCTCCTCCTCCTCCTCCTCCTCCTCCCCCTGCTTGTCTTGAGGCGCCTTACAATGCGCCCCCTCCCCACCAGCATCAGCGCCACCTGCTTGGGCCAGTTTTCTTTCTCCCTCACGCATTGCACATTGCTTTGCGACGTTCTCATGAGCTTCCACGCCTGATTTTCCTCCCTCCTGCACTCCACATTGGTCGCTCGCACCACCGCCACGCTCTGCCACAGCATTCCCCCCTCTAGCTTCATCAGCCGCTGTATTGGAATCCGATTCTCTTCCTGCTGTGCGTGCGCCTGTGCCGGTTGATTCAAGCGCAGCATGGGCTGATTCAAGCGCAGCATGGGCTGATTCAAGCCCAGGCACGGAGAAGAGGCGGGGCAGCTCGTTCCCTGGCTTGGGGCGGAACACCCGCCACCGCTTGCGCCCGCTCACCTGTCACAAACTCAAAGAGAGCGAAGGGGCGTACAGAAACACACAATCATTCCTCAGAAGCTGTGTCCAGCGCCCTACACCCTACCCACCCCAGCGCCCTACACCCTACCCACCCCAGCGCCCTACACCCTACCCACCCCAGCGCCCTACACCCTACCCACCCCAGCGCCCTACACCCTACCCACCCCAGCGCCCTACACCCTACCCACCCCAGCGCCCTACACCCTACCCACCCCAGCGCCCTACACCCTACCCACCCCAGCGCCCTACACCCTACCCACCCCAGCGCACGCCTGCCTGCCTGCCAGCCCACCCACCCACCCACCCACCCACCCACCTGGCACACCAGCACACAGTGGTCGTCCCAGTGTTGAGACAAGCCCTGCCGCCCGCCGCCCGGCGTGAGGTATAGGTTGACCCCGACAGCTGGCAGGGAGAGGGCGGCAGCGATGGCGTGTGCGAGGGACGCCACAGCAGGCGAGCGGCAGTTGACACTGCGGAGAGCGATGGTGCTGCCTCGAGAGAAGGCTGTATGGAAGGGGTTCGATGGTGGGTAGGCTGGGAGGGTTGGGCGGTATGGTGGGGCTGAGTTGGTTGACATGCTCGGTACGGTTGGCGAGGTGTGCTGGTGCGTTGACGCTGGGGAGATAGATGATGCCAGGGCTGAAGCTGGTTGGGCTACACACAGCAGGGATGCGGACGGCAGGGTGGTTGCAGTGACACGCCTGCGCTTGCACGCTCGTCGTCCCTCTGCTGCTGCTTCCCCCTCTTCTGCTACTTCATCCTCTGCTGCAGTCTCTGAAGCATGGTGATGACATGCAGATCCCCCCACAGCAGACGGCTGCGAACAAACAAAGGACACGTCAGGTGAGGACAAGAGAGGCCGCCCAAGCTCGCCTGCCACGGCCATGTCCCTCAGAGCAGCAAACGGGTCGGCTTCATCCGCGCTCATTCCCGGGCAGTACGCTGCCCCGGGTAGAAAAAAATCCAGGAGCCCATAGGCAGTTCCGAGGTGCGGAATGGCGTGGATTAGAGCTGCGAGGGAAGGGCCCTGACTTGTGAGAGAGAGTCGGCCATTTTCCATGCGCCTCACGTAGTGATGGCGTGAGGGACGGGAAGGGTTTTCATTTGGTATGAGAGAAGAGTGCTGATGAGGGAGTAACTGATCTTCTACGTCCCTTTTTCCCCCACGCGCTCTGAAGAGGAAGGGGCGCTTCTCCCATACAGTGGACAGGAAGGCGGACCATGAGCTCGATGTGATGCCCAGCAGCTGCTCTGCCCGCCTGCTGCATGCGTCTGCACCCGTGTTCGCTTCAGCCACACTCGCTTCAGGCACACAGACTCCCTTGCCACATGCTTCTGCATGCATCCATTGTTCAGGCACATCTCCCTTTGCTTCCACCATCGCTTCCTCTGCTGCATCGCCATTCTCCCCGCCCCTTGCCTTTACAGCGAGCGCCATCCCCACCCATGCCATCACAGCCGCTAGATGACACCGCCTGCCATCCAGCTGAGACTGCTGCGGGCGGCACGAGTTGTCCTTTCTGAGAATACGGGAGTATTCCCGGCGGAGTACCGCCAGGGCTGACACGAGTAAGGGGGAAGGCGGCAGAGAAGGGAGGTCATGAGGAGAGGTGGAGGGGAGGGGGGAGGTTGGCAGAGTGGGGAGGTGAGGGGGAGATGAGGAAGGAAGAGACGGGTTGGAGGATGGGAGGGGTGAAGAGTGAGAGTGAGGGTGGGTGTGAGGATGGGGGTGAGAATGAGTGGGCTGGGAATGGGACAGGAAGAGCAGCGACCACAGGGCGTCCACATGTGTGCGCAGGTGCTCGTGTGTCTGACCCTCTGCACTCCTCTCATTTTCCCCTTCCTCCTCCTTCTCCCCCTCCTCCTCCTCCTCCTCCTCCTCCTCCTCCTCCTCCTCCACCTCCTCCTCCTCCTCCTCCTCCTCCTCCTCCTCCTCCTCCTCCTCCTCCTCCTCCTCCTCCTCCTCCTCCTCCTCCTCCTCCTCCTCCTCCCTCTCCGTCTCTCCACATTCCCCACTTCTTCCTTTTCGTCCCTTCTGTGCGTCCGCCTCCCCCCCATCATCTCTCTGCCATGACGCTCTGTGGGAGTACACCAAACCAAACCATGTAGCACACACCAGATTGCAGTATAGTAAGGGAGGGAGTGAACGGGAGAGCACAGAACAATGAATGAGCAGGGTAAGGCACACACAACACTACAGACAGACATCGGGGGAGGAGCACAACGGGCGGGGTATAGAGCAGAGAACACAGCAGAGGGAGAAGGGCAGGGTATGTAGCAGGACGCACAGAGAAGAGAGCAGCGCATGCAGGGCGTTGTGTTGGCATGCCAGGTGGGCCCCGAGAGGGAGAAGTGAAGTTGCACAATGCATCAGCTGGTGTAAACCGCGTGTAGATAGACGTCTTCTGAAAAGTGTCACAACTTAGCAGGACGCACAGGGAAGAGAGCAGCGCGTGCAGGGCGTTGTGTTGACGAGCCAGGTGGGCCCCGAGAGGCGACGACGCCACGTCAGCCATGCAGCGCGCTGCTGCAGTGGTGGCGGCCCGCGAGGGAGAAGAAGCCGAGGGGGAGGAAAGGGAGGAAGGAGGCGAGTGTAGGAGGGAGCAGAGGTGTGCTAGCAGACACGGCTGGTGGCACTGCCTCTCCGTGCAAAAAGCACCCATGCATGTTGCTGGTGGTGGTGGTGCTGCTGCTGCTTCTGGTGGCGGTGGTGGTGGTGGTGGTGCTGCTGCTGCTGCTGCTGCTGCTGCTGCTGCTGCTGCTGCTGCTGCTGCTGCTGCTGCTGCCGCTGCTGCTGCCGCTGCTGCATCATCTGACGGCCTAGCCTCATCTGAAGAGCAACAACGGCATGTGACAAGGAGGCCACGGAACGACACACGGAGATTCTGTAAGAAGACGTGTTTTGAGACGTCTCAAAACAGGCCACGGAACGACACACGGAGATTCTGTAAGAAGACGTGTTTTGAGACGTCTCAAAACAGGCCACGGAACGACACACGGAGATTCTGTAAGAAGACGTGTTTTGAGACGTCTCAAAACAGGCCACGGAACGACACACGGAGATTCTGTAAGAAGACGTGTTTTGAGACGTCTCAAAACAGGCCACGGAACGACACACGGAGATTCTGTAAGAAGACTGACACGACACATGACCTGGCTCTCTTGAGAGACAGTGATGCACGCACGCTTGGCCACAGCAGAGCCGCGGGTGTGCCGGCAAAACAGCCACGCAGAACGATCTAACCAAGATCTGAGACCTCTGAAGTCTGGGAAAGCGGTCTCACGTGATGGGTGCTTACCTGCTGTGGGGGCGGGGGCGGGGGCGGGGAAGAAGGCAGTGAGGGCGTGGTGGGGGAGCAGCAGGAAGAGCAGCGACGCCAGTGACGCCATGGCTGCTGATACCCTCGCATGGCAGCATGTACACTCGCACCTGCTGGGGTGAATGTAGCAACATGTTACAGCAGGTAATGGACGCACTTTTAAGGCGCTTCAGAAGACAGAGAGGGCGTGGTGGGGGAGCAGCAGGAAGAGGTGAGATGCCAGCCAGTGACGCCATAGCCGCTGCGACCGCTGCATGGCAGCGTGCGCATCCGCAACTGCTAGGGGAATGAAGCAAAATGAAGCAACAGCAGGGAAGAGACGCATATACAACGCAGCAGCACCTTGCAGCACCTGAATCCAACTTACAGCATCTCCCAGCGTCTGACCCCTTCTGTGCCTCTCATCTTCTTTCAATGCACCTCCCACCGTACCTCCCATCCCATCATACCTCGCCTCTCACCGTACCTCGCCTCTCACCGTACCTCGCCTCTCACCGTACCTCGCCTCTCACCGTACCTCGCCTCTCACCGTACCTCGCCTCTCACCGTACCTCGCCTCTCACCGTGCCTCACCTCTCACCGTACCTTGCAGCAGCCATGGCTTGGACCATCAGCCGAGGCGCATCAGTACCACATAGCACCTGCCATGCCAGGCTGTCTTCTGCTCCTGCATCCACACCATCATCTGCGTTCCCCTTCGCATTAGTCACATACTCGTTAGCATCACCCACATTCTCATTGTCGATTCCATTCCCCTTCCCATCAGCACCTCCCCCTCCCCGTGCGCCCTCCGCCAGCATCCCCTCACTCACGGCCTCCGCTGCCCTCACCACGCGCACGCGCGCGGGCTTCCTCGCGCAGCCCCGCCCTACGGCCTCCGCCCGCCCCCCCGCCGCTGGCGGAGCCACCGGCGCGGCATCCGGCGCAGCGGACGCAGCAAGCCAGGCGTGGAGAGCCGAGAGAAGGCGCTGGAGGGGCGGGGATAACGGAGTGCTGCTAGAACGAGGAACGATATTAAGCTCTCGGCGCATGACTGAATGCCAGAAACGTAGCGCCGAACCCTAAAAGTGAAATCTAGGAGCTAAAACCACGGGTACGTGGGAGCAGAATGCATTTTAGCACGAGACCTTGGGCCACCTAGCAAGAACATACCTAGGTTTCATGAAACTTGAATTGGAATGCAAGGGACTGCAAGCTGGAATCAGAGATTCGGTGATCACAGACTGAAGGGCTTGGTGGTTCTGCACGAATTATGGCAAAAAGGGATCATTGGTGAGTAGTACCCGTTATAGGTGAAGCTGTGATGGCTAAGAAAATGCCGAAATCGTTTAGGATGAACTTTCGGGTGTACGGGCAGAAACGCGGGAATGCGAGCCAGCCCAGCCACGCACTGCCAAGCCACGACACCACGACTTCGCCAGGTTTCTACAAACTGATTCGGCTTACAGTTGACTAAAAAAAGATAAAGTACACTTTACCACACACTGTACATATTCTACGCGTTTCATTCTATGCGTGACCAGGAGCAATGCAGCAATCCAGCTGTATTCTGGGGACTCGAAAGGGGAAAAAGGGTAAACCCAAGGCCCGAGTCGGTTCTTTTCGCAAGGGATGAACTGCCCGAATCGGGAAGAATCTACAGTGCCGCCGGGCTGATCAATTGTCAGGAGCAACGCAAGGCAGCCCTCCCTCCTCCCCCCTCCCTCACCTCCGTCCGCCCTCGCATCCATCATTCACCTGAACCGTCCGATGCTCTTCATGATGATCCCGACGCTGTCGCGCCAAACTTTGAACAGTCTTGTGTCTCTCTGTGACCACCACCACCACCAGTCGTCCTTGAGCTCTTGTCCGTGTTCTCCTCTCCACCGTTCGCCTCGCCTCCTCCTCTTCCACTTTATCCCCCTCTTCCTCTTTCATCGGGCTGACGAGATCTTCCCAACAAAGTTTTGCCATTCCTACAACTAGTGGTGTTAGTGATCGTACCAGTGCTAGGGTGCTCATCAGTCGGACGGCCTGTGAGTAAGAGAGGGATGATGACGGGCCCGTCAATTGCAAACGGTGCTTTACCTAGTAATACATTGGTGCTTTGTTAGATCGTCTGATCAGTCCTGTACTAGTATTTAATAAGTTTCAAGTGCTACTACTACTAGTACTAGTACTAGCAGCAAAGCTCACAATCCACTAACGGGAACCACCGCTTTGGTCATGATGTCATTGGAATCGACGCTTCATGATCCGGCGGCGGCGCTGCAGCCACAGCGGCCGTCCGAATCAGACAAGCCGTTTTCTAGTACTACTAGTACTACCGCTATCGCAACGCCAGCGTTGGCGGTGACCGCATGGCCTCCCACCGCCGCGACACTCGCGGACGCCGCCGGCTGTTTCTTTGACCTTCAAGGGGAAGTTTACCTTCCCCCTTGCGCCCCGCCGCAGCACCATCTGACCACAGGGTTCCGCAGCAACTCCGCAGCGGAAAGGGAGCAGAGCGGCCGGAGCGTGTGGGATCAGGAATGCTCGGAAGATATAGAAGACGTGGTGGTAATCGGCGCCCCTACTTATGTGGCCTCATGTGAAAGAAAAACGTTGGGTGTAGCGCCAGGGAAAACCGTCACTAGTGCTACTACCACCATTACTGCTGGTACTAGTACCAGATATGATTGTGGTCGCGTTATGACGGGTGCGGAAGCTTTCCTGGCGGAAACACTTGGCGCTGCGGGGGGTGCCTCACCCTCCTGGCTCTCCGCTCTCCGCCAGCGCGCGGGGAGCAGGCAGCCGCGCGCGGGTGTCCACGGGCGGCGATGGCGGAAAGGAGTTCCGCAGCGGATGTCTGTATGTATGGGGTGGGAGCGAAATGAGGAGGCTACTATCGGTTGTGATAATGAGATTACCACCAACCATACCAGTACTACTATGAAGAATAATCGTATTGTTAACGAGGAACGAGAATTGCCGCGTACGGATTCTGGACGCACAGCAGCGCGGCCGCATTTGCGAGACACAGAGGATGCGGCATCTGCTGAGCATCGTGCGTTGGACGGAATAGGGCAGAGAACAGCAGACGGGGATGCAGCAGCAGGAACGGAGGCAGCAGCAGAAAGAGATGCAGAAGCAAGAGGGGAAGCAGCAGCAGCAGGAGGGGTACCATTAGGGAAGGCATTCTGGGTAGGAGAGGCATTAGGGCAGGCAGCAGCAGGATGGGGTGGGAAGGCAGCAGCAAGAGCGGGGAGAAGCGGCAGGAGAGGAGGAGTCGAAGGTGCGCTGGCTAGGTTGAGGGAGGCGGGCGGGGAGGCGGTGGAGGAGGGCAGGTGCTGTAGTGACGAGGTCCAGAAGGAAGGACAGAACGGACGCATAGGGGGGAAGGAGAGACAGGCGGACGGCAGCCGTGGTGCTGCTGTGTGCATTGAGAACCTGCGAGGCAGGGTGATGTGTGTGGATCCGCAAGCAGGAAGGGCAGATGAGGACGCACAATGCGGGGATGGAGCAGGAGGAGGAGCAGAAGGAGAAGCAGGCGCAGCAGCAGCAGAGGCAGAAGTTGCAGAAGCGGGAGTGGCAGAGGCAGAGGCAGAAGTGGCGCACTGTGCTGGCGATGCAGGCAGCAAGAGGGTAGCGGAGACAACTGAGGAGAGGAACGGAAAGCGTGGAGCGAGAGTAGCAGCAGCAGAAACAGGAGCAGAATCAGAAGCAGAGGCAGAAGCAGAAGCAGTGGCGAACGTAGCTGGCGATGCAAGCAGCAAGAGGGTAGAGAAGTCAGCTGAGAAGAGTAACGGAAAGCGAGGAGAGCGTGTGGCGGCAGCTAAGCCGGCAGCCAAGCGAGCAAAGAAGCAGGCAGTTTCAGATGGCAAACAGGCGGGCAGTGCGGGTGGGGCTGTGGTGTTAGATGGTGCTGATAGGGCGACGGAGCAGAGGCAGACCAGTGCCTTGGAGAGAAATGGCACAGATAGAAGTGGCTCAGGTGGTGCTGGTGGTGGTGCGGGTGGTTCTGATGGTGCAGGTGGTGCTGCTGATGGTGCGGGTGGTTCTGATAGTGCGGGTGGTGCTGCTGATGGTGCGGGCTGTGCGAGTAGTTACGGTCACGGTACATGGATTGAGGGGCAAGAGGAGGGAGCGACATGTGAGGCCAAGGCGCCGCAAGCAGAGCGTAGGGACGAGGAGGGAGGCTGCAAGGATGGCGGGCAGGAGGCAGAGCGTAGGGATGAGGAGCAGCAGGCAGAGCGAAGGTTCAAGGGGCAGCAGCAGGCAGAGCATCGGGACGAAGAACAGCAGGAAGACAGTAAGGAGGAAGTGGAATGCCAACCGGCAGTGGAGCGCATGCAAGAGGCGCAGCAATGCTCAAAACAAGATGAGCAGGGAACGCAGGCGATTCAGTGTAAGCAGGAGAAGCAGGAGGAGCAGGGCAAGCTGGGGGCGCAGTGGGAGTGGGAGGACGAGTGGTTGGTGGGAGCGGACTGTAGCAGGAGGAGGCCGCGGTGCCGCAGCCTCAAGGAGCTCATGCACGTCACCACCTCCACCACCACCGCTGCTACAGCCGCTGCTGCTACAGCCGCTGCTGGTGCAGGTGGCGCTGGTGGTGGTGGTGCTGCTGCTACAGCTGCGCAGAAGAGCAAGGGTGGTAAAGGGAAGGTCAATGGCAGGTGGGGTGGGGAGAAGGGTGCAGGTGTTCCGGGCAAAGGGAAGGTTGGTTTGAAAGGGGCTCAGAAGGCCAAGGGCAGGGTACCTTGGAGTACTAGTAGGGTGTCTCTCTCGCCCTCTGTTTCCGCTTCTCCCTCTGTGGCCAGTGCTCCTATGTCTGGTCCTGCTGTCAATGCTTCTCATTCCGGTGCTGCAACCAATGCTGTAGCGTTCAAAGCGGCATCTTCTGCTGCTGATACTGCTGCTGTCGCGCCTGATTCCGATTCTCCTGATGCTGCTGATGCTGCTGATGCTGCTGCATCTGCTGCTCCCTCCGCCTCTGTTGCAAGCTTTCGGTGGGACGATGAGACAAACGGCCAGTGCTTCCCCACTCCAAAGAAGAGGAGGCGAACAGAGGTGCAGCAGGTGGGGAAGACGAATCCAGTCGAAATGACTTCAAAGAATCCTCAAAAGCAGGTCGGGAAGACGAATCCAGCTGAAGTGGTTTCTGAAGCGGCACGTTTTGAGATGCCTCCGAAAGTGGGAAGGACTGATCCAGTGAAAGAGAGACAGGCGGGCTTCCGTCCGCAAGGGAAGGGAACTGGGCTGGTCGGAGAAGAAAGGAAAGCAGGCTTCAAGAATGTTGGTGTGCCTCGGCAGGTGGGGAGATTTGAGGTACGGAAGAGGGAGAGGGATGGGTGGAGGGAGGGAGTTGGAAGGGAGGAGAACGGGGGAAGGGAGGAGAAAAGGCAGGCAAATGAGGATTCGAGCAGTGCTGGTTCTGGTGGGAGTGGTAGTGAGAGTGGACGTGGCAGTGCGAGTGGGAGTGATAGTGAGCGTTCCAGCGAGAGTAGGAGTGAGAGTAGGAGTGAGAGCAGGAGTGAGAGTGGAAGTGAGAGCAGGAGCGATAGTGGGAGTGAGAGCAGGAGTGAGAGTGGGAGTGAGAGCGCTAGTGACAGTGAGACAGCTGTACAGGTGCGAGAGAGGAGTGGTTCACCCCCCTTCAAGAGTACGACTGTGCTAGATCATTCCACCAAACCACCCATGGTGCCAGTACCACCAGTATCATCAACACCAGCAGCACCACCATTGCCGCCTGTTACCAAACCCCTCCCTGCCCCATCCCACCGCTCCCACCGCTCCCCTTCCTGCCCCCTCCCTCGGTTCCCCTCACATGCGCCCCCCCCTCCACCTACCTCCTCCTCCCCCCATTGGGTTCCCTCCTCTCCCTCCCCCCCGCTCCCCATCCGCGCCCACCCCTCCCCCTCCCTCTCTCCGCGGCCCCCCTCCCCTGCTTCTCCGCCCCATTCCCCTCCCTCTGCCTCCCCTGCTCCCCCTGCTTCCCCCACCCCCCATGCTGCTATATCTGAGGGGGATAGGGTGAAGATGAGGGGAGGGGAAGGGAAGATCTGGGGGGAGGAAGCGGGGCAAAGGGGGAAGGGTAGGGGGAAGGCGAGGGGGGGAGCTGTAAGGGGAAAGCGGAGAAGCGACGGGGGGGGTGTTAGGATCAATGGGGAAGATGGGTGGAGGTGGAGGGCAAAGGGTGTAACGGAGCAAGGAGCAAAGGGGCCCACCAAGGAAGATGAGGGGAGAAGAGCAGACGGATTTACAAGGGAAGCGGAGGGGCGACGGGAGGGGAACGTGAGTACGCATGCCACTGCGAGGGATGACGGCGACGGGGGAGGGGGAGCGGTAGGGGGAGGGGGAGGGGAAGCGGTAGGGGTATTGGGAGAAGGGATCAGAGGGGAGCAGCAGGAGCAGGGGGGGAGGAGAAACGGGGCGCATCGACCAGCAAGGAGGCAAGCAGCCGTGGTGTTCACTGCAACGAAATCAACAGTGGTTCTAGGGGAGGGATTGGATGAGGCACAGCGGCAAGCAGCCTTCACAGGGGCAATCCAGCTACTGGGCCACCACCAGGCGAATAGGCTGAAGCAGAAGGGGTATGGTGGGGGGCGGGGGAGTGGGAGAGGGAAAGGGAGAGGGAGAGGGAGGGGTGGGAGGAGGGGAGGCAGAGGAGCGGGTGGGGGGAGAGCAGGGGCTGGGGAGGAGCGGGAAGCGGGAGGAGGGGGCGGGGAAACGGAGGGAGCGGATCCTTTTGCGTATGAGATAGTGTGGGAGGAGGCGAGCAGTGGGGGGGCGAGTGAGGGAGGTGGGGGAGGGCATGGTGGGGAGGTGTGGGGGAGAGGGCAGGGGGGTGCGGGGGTTGCCGGAGATGCTCCGGGAGACGCACGGTATGAGGTGTCACGAGTGCGAGGGGGGCAGCAGTTCACAGTAACAGACCGGCAGACGGGTGACAGGGTGGCGTTTGCGTTTGATGCTCCTGAAGAGACGGCCGCAGCGCTGGCAAGCGTGCATGTGCTGGTGGCGTTTATAGAAGAGGAGGAGGAGCGGCTGCGGTGGAAGGCGCTTGGGGCGCATTGAGCAGCTTTCAGACGGTTCAGACGGTAGAGGAGGTGGCAGCAGCGCTGGCAAGCGTGCATGTGCTGGTGGCGTTTATAGAAGCCGAGGAGGAGAGGCTCAGGTGGAAGGCGTTCGGGGCAAAAAGGCCGCAGTGGCACTGGCGAGTGTGCATGTTCTGGTTGCTTTCATAGAAGCCGAGGAGGAGAGGCTTAGGTGGAAGGCGTTCGGGGGACAGCCCTAAGCCTCTCACCCTAACCCCTTCACCAGCTTCGAGACGCTGGAAAGGCAGCAGCAGCAGCGCTGGCATGTGTGGTTGCTGGTGGGAGCGTGAGAAGCAAGGAGAGAGCGGCTGAAGTGGCAATGGTTCCGAATGGTTCGGAGCTTAATGACCAACTTTGGGACGCTGGAAAGACAGGAGAGCTCTTTTGAGGCGCCTCAAAAGCCGCTGAACTGGCTACGGCTCCGAATGGTTCAGTGCACAGTGACCAACTTTGAGATTCTGGAAAGACAGGAGAGCTTCACTGGCAAGTGGGCGCGTAACCTGGAGTAGAGGAGAGGTAATGGCTGACCGTGCTGGTGTGCCCTTCCACAGATGGCAAGGAGTAGAGAAGAAACTTGTCAAATGCAGCTGGCAGCTATTCAAGTTATGCGGGTGGACTATCTTCTCCCCTGTATCATCATCATACCCGTACCTACCGTATCAGTGTACTGTACTCTTCTGAGATGTTTCGATAGCTGTTCAGTTTAGAGTATGCGTAGGGTAGTACGTTTTTTCAGAGAGCAGGATTGTAGGAATTTATTTATTATAATATTTTTTGGCGTGTTTCAAGAAGGATTCATACTTTAAAATGCACAGCTGCAACCATGGGTTTCAATACACATACTATTTCCGGAACGAAACATATGGTACCTGCAAGAGAGACACTGGCGAGGATTCTTCAGACTCCCCGAGCTTCCCGCAACAAGTGCAGTAAGAAAATCTGATGCGATGTTTGGGGTGGGGTGGGGAGCCTGAAAAGAGGAATCTGCAGGAATGGCAGAGGGGACCCGTGGGCCTTGCTTCTTGAAGCTGCTGCTGCAGTGCGGATCATCAACATTCATGAGATAGGCCTGGGTTTCCATCTACAGACAGACGCCCTCTCTCTCTCTTATGGTAATGCCTATCACATGAATGTTACCTCTCGAGTCTCGCCCTGGGACACGAGTTCGTATGTTACCCACACTCACCACACCACCTCTCACCTCTCAGATTCTTTGGGAATGCCCCTTCTCAGGACTTCCCTTCTCTCCCTCACTGACTACCGAAGTTTGTTGTGGGTGAGGCAACTACTCTCCGCACCAACCATGCGGTGAAACACCACACTCACCGCCGCAGCCCTGCTTCCTCTCTGCAAATGCCCTCTCAAGAAGCACATCCATCCAGGGCGCCCCTCTGAAACTATTTCTTGTGGGTAAGACAGCTGCTCTCGGCGCCAGCCAACCACCACAATCACCACCACCACAGCCCTTCTTCCTCAGGCAAAAACTCGCTGCAACCCCCCTTCCAAAAGGCATATCCTAGTGTCCCTCAGAAAACTAGTTCTTGTGGGTGAGACGGCCGCTCTCAGCACCAGCCAAGGGATCAACCACCAGACCAGACTCACGACCACGCTCACCACTGCAAGCCTCCTCTCCTCTCAGCAATCGTCCTCTCAACAGGCACACCCAGGCGGCCATAAAAGAAAAGGGTTTGTGATATCTCCAAATGGCCTCAAACATAGACATAAACATCTACCAGTTCCTGTGGGTGCGGCGGCCGCTCTCAGCACCAGCCAGGAAAACCACCGCCACGTCCACCTCACCATTACAGGCCTCCTATCTCTCGGTAAACGCAATGCCTGCTCCAACCACTCTTTTCAAAACGCCTGCTCCCAGTCTCTCCTCCAAAGCTAGTTCTTGTGGGTGCGGCGGCCGCCTTCAGCACCAGCCAAGGGATCAACCACCACACTCACCACCGCCAGGCTCCTTTCCTTAAACGCCTGCTCCAGCGCCGCTTCCAGCTCCTGAACCGTGGTAACGTGGTAACAGCACCCAACTCTCTTTAACTAGTTCTTGTGGGTGAGACGACTGCTCTCAGCACCAGCCAAAGGGGTCAACCACCACACTCACCACCGCCGGCCTCCTCTCCTTAAACGCCTGCTCCAGCGCCGCTCCCAGCTCCTGCACCGTGGTAACGTGGTAACAGCACCCAACTCTCTTTAACTAGTTTTGTGGGTGAGACGACTGCTCTCAGCACCAGCCAAAGGGGTCAACCACCACATTCACCACCGCCGGCCTCCTCTCCTTAAACGCCTGCTCCAGCGCCGCTCCCAGCTCCTGCACCGTGGTAACGTGGTAACAGCACCCAACTCTCTTTAACTAGTTCTTGTGGGTGAGACGATCGCTCTCAGCACCAGCCAAAGGGTCAACCACCACATTCACCACTGCAGGCTTTCTCTCCTTCAACGCCTGCTCCAGCGCCGCTCCCAGCTCCTGCACCGTGGTAACGTGGTAACAGCACCCAACTCTCTTTAACTAGTTCTTGTGGGTGAGACGATCGCTCTCAGCACCAGCCAAAGGGTCAACCACCACATTCACCACTGCAGGCTTTCTCTCCTTAAATGCCTGCTCCAGCGCCGCTCCCAGCTCCTGCACCGTGGTAACGTGGTAACAGCACCCAACTCTCTTTAACTAGTTCTTGTGGGTGAGACGACCGCTCTCAGCACCAGCCAAAGGGTCAACCACCACATTCACCACTGCAGGCTTTCTCTCCTTAAACGCCTGCTCCAGCGCCGCTCCCAGCTCCTGCACCGTGGTAACGTGGTAACCGCGTCCTCCGAATGCTTCCATCATGCGGTCGTAGCGCGCGCCTTCCACAAAGGAGGTGGGGGGCGGGTCGCTGCGGGTGCTGTCTGGCAGTTGGACGGGCCCCCTGCGATCGCCCCCGTAGATGCCTCCGTTGTTCATCACTACGACTATGATGGGCAGATTGTATCGCACCATGGTCTGGAAATAAGGGAAGGGGGGGGGGGGACATGGAGGGGAAAGAAAGGCGGGTGGCGTCTGGGAGGTGGACAGGCCCCCTGCGATCGCCCCCGTAGATGCCTCCGTAGATGCCCCCGTAGATGCCTCCGTTGTTCATCACTATGACTGTGATCGGCAGATTGTAACGCACCATGGTCTGGAAAGGTTGGGAAGAAGGGAGAGAAAGGGGGGAGAGAAAGGGGGAGCAGGGGAGAGTGGGTAACGTGGTAACCGCATCCTCCAAACGCCTCTATCAGGCGGTCCTATCGTGCGCCTTGCACAAAGAAGGTGGGGGGCGTGTCGCTGCGGGTGGCGTCTGGGAGGTGGACGGGCCCCCTGCGATCGCCCCCGTAGATGCCCCCATTGTTGATCACTATCACCACTATTGGTAGATTGTATCGTACCATGGTCTGGGGGGAATGGGTGTGGCATGTGAGAGCACGTCAGGAGGGGAAGAGGGGGAGTGAGAGTAAGAAGGGAGGTGGATGGCCTCCCTGAGATCGCCCCCGTAAAGGCCTCCGTTGTTCATCACTATCACCACTATGGGGAGATCGTATCGCACCATGGTCTGATGATGAGGGGTAGAGGGGGAACCAAGGGGGAAGAGAGGCGGGGCAGGGAAGAGGGGGTGAGTGAGGAAGGAGGCCACAATAGTTGCCGCCGCTGTTCATCACCATGACCACTATGGGCAGATTGCATCGCACCATGGTCTGTACAGCATTAAGAGGAAGAGGGGGGCGGGGGAAAGAGAGTGGGTTTAGGTAGGGGAGATGTCTCAAAAGTGCCTCCATTGTTCATGTCTATGAGTACGACTCACCTCAGCCTCCCTAATTGATAAATATGACTATGCCAATGCCCATGACTCACCTCAATCTCCATGCCGCTGAACCCAAACGCGCTGTCCCCCTCCAACGCCACCACCAGCCGCTCCCTCTTCCCCTTCTCCCCACCCTCACTCCCACTCCCCCCACTCTCCCCCTCCTCCCCTAGCGGCGCCACAGCAGCAGCCACTGCATACCCCAACCCCACGCCCATGGTCCCCCAGGTGGCCGCATCAAGCCGTGAGCGCGGGGTTAACTGGGGGAGGACGGTTCTGCCCATGTCCATGGTGTTGGCGCCTTCAGAGCAGAGCAGGGTGGTGATGGAGGGGGGCAGCGCGGCTAGCTTGTCGCGGAGGACGCGCAGGGAGCAGTGGAAGTTGAGGGGGTGGACATCCTGGGAAAGAAGAGACTCCATTCGGACAGTGTTGGTTGACGCCTTGGCCTGTTGGGAGACAAGGAGGGGGTGGGGAGTGGAGAACCCGCAGGGAGCAGTGGAAGTTGAGGGGGTGGGCGTCCTGGGAAAGAAGAGACTCCATTCGGACGCTGTTGGCTGATGCCTTGGCCTGGATAGATGGGAGGAGCAGGCGGGAGGAGGGGGAGGGAGGGAGAAGGAGGGATGGGAGTGGGGCGATCAGCAAGGTCCTGCCCAGGTCCATGGGGTTTGCAATGGTCAACACCATGCAATGAGTGAGAGGACGGCAATGGCCAACACCATGCAATGGGTGAGAGGACGGCAATGGCCAACACCATGCAATGAGTGAGAGGACGGCAATGGCCAACACCATGCAATGGGTGAGAGGACGGCAATGGCCAACACCATGCAATGGGTGAGAGGATGGCAATGGCCAACACCATGCAATGGGTGAGAGGACGGCAATGGCCAACACCATGCAATGGGTGAGAGGACGGCAATGGCCAACACCATGCAATGGGTGAGAGGACGGCAATGGCCAAAACCATGCAATGGGTGAGAGGACGGCAATGGCCAACACCATGCAATGGGTGAGAGGACAGCAATGGCCAACACCATGCAATGGGTGAGAGGACGGCAATGGCCAACACCATGCAATGGGTGAGAGGATGGCAATGGCCAACACCATGCAATGGGTGAGAGGACGGCAATGGCCAACACCATGCAATGGGTGAGAGGACGGCAATGGCCAACACCATGCAATGGGTGAGAGGACGGCAATGGCCAACACCATGCAATGGGTGAGAGGACGGCAATGGCCAACACCATGCAATGGGTGAGAGGACGGCAATGGCCAACACCATGCAATGGGTGAGAGGACGGCAATGGCCAACACCATGCAATGGGTGAGAGGACGGCAATGGCCAACACCATGCAATGGGTGAGAGGACGGCAATGGCCAAAACCATGCAATGGGTGAGAGGACGGCAATGGCCAACACCATGCAATGGGTGAGAGGACAGCAATGGCCAACACCATGCAATGGGTGAGAGGACGGCAATGGCCAACACCATGCAATGGGTGAGAGGACGGCAATGGCCAACACCATGCAATGGGTGAGAGGACGGCAATGGCCAACACCATGCAATGGGTGAGAGGACGGCAATGGCCAACACCATGCAATGGGTGAGAGGACGGCAATGGCCAACACCATGCAATGGGTGAGAGGACAGCAATGGCCAACACCATGCAATGAGTGAGAGGACGGCAATGGCCAACACCATGCAATGGGTGAGAGGACGGCAATGGCCAACACCATGCAATGGGTGAGAGGACGGCAATGGCCAACACCATGCAATGGGTGAGAGGACGGCAATGGCCAACACCATGCGATGAGTAAGAGGACGGAGAGGGGTCGGGGGGATAGGAATGGGAACAAGAGAGGGAATTGAGAGGCATGAGGGACGGGTACAAGACAGCCTGAGCTTCACATGTCTCGGCTTGCTAACCTTCAACTTAGAGACCCAGGGGTTGTCTGCTGCAACCTTCTGCCCTCCTTCCGCCGCCCACCGTGCCGCAAGCCGCCCAACCACCGCCCTGGCGTCGCCGACCAGCCCCACCGCCGGCCGCCTCTGCGCCACCTCGCTTTCGTCCACATCCACCAGGACAAACTTCACTCCTGCCGCCCACTTTGGCGGCTGGCCGAAATGCAGGATCCAATTCAGCCTCGCGCCGACCACAAGCGCCACGTCAGCTTGGGAAAGAGCCAATGAGCGAGCAGCAGAGATGCACAGGGGGTGTGTATCGGACAAAACACCCTTCCCCATGGGTGTAGGGAGGAAGGGAATCCCAGTCAATTCCACCAGTGCTGCTATTTGGTTCTCAGCGTGAGCGTATGCTGCCCCCTTCCCCACCACCAGCAGAGGTGCTTTAGCTTCCCTCAGCAAAGCAATCGCCTCTGTGAGACTTGACTCGAGGGCGGATGCAAGCGGTGCAGAGGGGTCCAGAGCGGTGCGCCAGAGCGGCACCAGGGGCTTCACGTCCTCCAGAAGCTTCCTCGCATCTTCCTCAGAAATACTCCCGTGCAGCACATCGGCCGGCAGGTCCACATACGCCCCACCAGGCCGCCCGGCCACCGTCGCCTCCGCCGCCCGCTTCACCACCCCCGGGATCTCCGCAATCGACTTCGCCCGCCCGGATTCCTTCACAAACGGCCGAACCACTCTCACCTGATCCAACTCCTGAAAATCCCCCTGGCCCACATCCTCCTGTGTGCAAGACCCAGAGAGCAGCAGCAGCGGCCAGGTATTCACCTGAGCATGACTCACCCCTGCCAGTGCATGCACACACCCCGGGCCTGACACTGTAAGCAGCACGCCGGGGGTTCCTGTGAGGTAGCCGTAGGCTGCTGCGGCGTAGCCTGCTGCTTGCTCGTTGCGGAAGGAGAGGAAGCGGATCCCCTGCTGCTGCGCTGCTGTGGCGACGGCCGTGACGGGAATGCCGATGACTCCGAATAGGTGGGTGACGCCGAGACGAGCGAGAGAGAGGGCGATGAGAGCAGGGGCGTCTAGGGTAGCGGAGGGGGAGGGGGAAGGGGCTGTTGGGAGAGGGGGTGGGGTGAAGGAAGAGGGGGAAAGGGAGCAGAGATGGGATGAGAAGCAAGAGAACAGGCATGGGCCGCTGTGCTGCCGCCGCCGCCGTGGGGTGAAGGAAGAGGGGGAAAGAGAGCAGAGATGGGATGCAAGCGCATTCCCTGCTGCTGTGCTGCTGTGCCGACGGCGGTGACAGGGATACTGGTAACTCTGAATAGGTGGGTGACGCCGAGACGTGCGAGGGAGATGGCGATGAGAGAAGGGGCGTCTAGAGTAACAGAGGAGGAGGGGCTGCTGGAAGGGGTTGTGCAGGGAAGGAGGTTACTGGAATAGCGTTGGGGAGCAAGCATAGGGATGGAAAAGGCTAGAGTGACGAGGGAAAGCAGAGATGAAGTGAGAGACGGGAGATGGGATGGAAGGCAGCAGAGAATTGAAAAAAGGGAAGGAAAACAGAAAGAGAGAAATAGACAAGGTTGCATACCACATCGACAAACAATTTGCCACAAAATGTTTTCACAGAATTGCATTGTTTAATTTCACTGTTCATCATCCTCTCCGCCTGTTACCAACCAATCTCCCTAAGTGTCAGCTAAGAGCCAGTAGGGCCAATAAGAGCAAGTAGCAGCAGCAGCAGAAGCAGCAGGTGGAGCAATCTGACCGACCCACCACAGGGCCCAGTAGCTAAGGACGAGATCGGATTAAGCAGTACCAGCAGCAGCAGGAGCAGCCGAAGCTGCAGCAGGAGCAGCAGCAGTGCCTTCGCCACTGAGCATGGCCTGGGCAACGAAGCGACGCTGAATCTTGCCGGTGGCGGTGCGCGGGAGATGGTCGACAAAGAAGACGCGCTTGGGCAGCTTGAAGGCCGCCAGGTGATTCTTCAGGTGCTCCTGCACCTCCTCCTGGGTGAGAGACACACCTGGCTCCAACACCACTGCTGCATTCACCTGACGGACGGGGGAGGAAGAAGTGGGGGTTGAGGAGGGGGAGAGGTTGGGGGGGGCAAGGGGGACGGAGTTATATGGTGGAGGAAAGGGGAAATGGGGCATAGGGGGAAGGGAAGGGGATGAAATAGGAGAGACAGGCAAAATGATACATGAAAAAATCTTCCACTACCCCCTTCCCTGGTGACAGCGCTCCTGGATTAACAAGCAAGTCACCTACCTTTCCTCCCCCATTCCCCATACCACTCACCTCCTCCCCGTAGTGGGCATCAGGCGCAGAGAAAGCAACGGCCTCAGCCACGCCTTTCACGGCCAGCAGCGCAGCATCCACCTCCAGCGGCGAGATCTTCTCCCCACCCCTGTTGATCAGCTCCTTCAGCCGCCCCGTCAGGTACAAATACCCCTCCTCGTCCCTCTTCCCCTCGTCTCCCGTGTGAAACCACCCGAACGCGAACGCCGCTTCATTCGCCGCCGGGTTGCTGCGGTAACCAGCCGTAACGTTCGCCCCGCGAATGCACACCTCGCCGCGCTCCCCCACCCCGAGCTCCCGCCCCTGCTCGTCCAAGATCGCGAGTTCGATTCCTGTCGGCAACCCCACAGACCCAGCCTTGTGGGATCCCTTGGAAGGGAGAGGGTTGGCAGTCATTTGGTGGCTTGCTTCGGTCATAGCATATGCTTCAAGCACGGGAGCGCCGAAGACTGTTTCCATTTCCTCCAGCACTGCCGCTGCCAGGCTGGCACTGCAGCTGCGGATGAAACGCAGAGGCGGGTAGGCAGTGACAGAGGCGGTGGATTCACCCAGAGATTCCCCCTGAGATTCCCCCTGAGATTTTCCCGAGAGGGTGGGCGGGCCGTGGGAGCGGTGGCGGGAGAGGAGAATCTGGTGCATGGTGGGCACCGCGGTGTACCACGTGGCACCGCTCTGCACCACTTCGTCCCAGAAGGTCGACGCGGAGAAACGGCCAGAGGCGGGGAGGACCACGGAGCCCCCAGAGGAGAGAGAGGCGAGAAGAGCAGCCATCAGCCCATGCACGTGGAACAGAGGCATGACTAGGTAAGACCGGTCGGCAGAAGTGAGGTCGTATGTGTCTATGATGTTCCCTATGGATGCTGCCAGGTTGGCGTGCGTCAGCGGCACGCCTTTCGGGCGGCTGGTCGTGCCTGACGTGTGCAGGAAGAGTGCCACGTCAGCGGGGTCGGGCGTGGGCCCGGGGCCAGGCCCGTCCGGGATGTCCGCGGGTGGGAGGGCGGAGAGGCCTTCGGATGGGCGCAGGGGGACTCCTTCCTGAGAAAAAGAGGAGGGAGGAGGGGGGGTAGGGGGAGGGGGTGTAGTGGAAAAGAGGGAGGAGGGTCCGTTGGGGATATGGGCGTGTAGGAGGGCGGAGAGGCCTGGGGAGGGGCGCAAAGAAATTATTTCCTGGATAGGAGAGGGGACCAGAGGGGGGTGGGAGGAAGAGAGAAAGGGGTTTCCGTTGGGAATGCGGGCGTGTGGGAGGGTGCAGAGGCCTGAGAGGGGGGACAGGGGGACTCCCTCCTGGGATAGAAGGAGAGCGTGAGGGGGGGAGGTTGGATGGAGGAGGGAGAGAAGGGGAGAGGGGGGGAGGTGCTTTGGAAAAGGAGGCAAGGGGAGCAACGCTTTTAGAAAATAATAGCGGTCTCAGACAGCAGTAGCGCTGTGGGAAAGCAGTAGCGCTCTCGAGCAGCGATAGCTCATATCATCTCACCTCGCCTCCGTAGCTCCCAGCATGCGCCACCGATACTCCCAAGGCGGCAGCGGCAGCCTGAGCCTTGGTATTGAGGAGTGACGCTCTCAGGCACCAGTAACGATCTCAGACCGCGGTTCATTTTTACAAAACCTTGAGAATCAACAGCTCAATCTCACCTCGCCTCCGTAGCTCCCAGCATGCGCCACCGGTACTCCCAAGGCAGCAGCGGCCGCCTGAGCCTTGGGAGTGCCGCCCTCGGGGAGAAGAAGCAGGCGCGCCTGCGCGTCCTCCATATAGAACTTGAACTCCTCCTCCGTGTACGCTGCATTTAACGGAGCTGCTGTGGCGCGAACACGCGTAACTGCGAGGAAAAGGATCACAAACTGGGGAGAGGGGTGGGGTGGGGGGAGGAGGGGTATATTGGAGCGGGGGAAAGAAAGGGCAGGGAAGGGGGAAGGAAGAGTGGGAAGGTGGGGATGGAAGAAAGGAAAATATTATGAAAATTCGCAATATCCACACAAATTGACAGAAATGAAGGATGCCGACATCAGGACAAGTTAAATTTGATGATTAAGATGGAATATTTGGAATGAAATTAGGGACGGAGAGGGCATCCCAAGTGGTCCCGCGATGGAATTTAACGAGAGGAATCGTGCACAACGTGATTTGAGTTTACTCGAAACTGGCACGATGAGCACTGACACGTACCTCGAGCGAGATAGGGAAAGCGAGGGACACAAGATCGAGTTGACTTCTCAGTCTACTCTCAAGTCAACGCACTGACGAGTACCTCGAGCGAGTTAGGGAAAGCGAGAGACACAAGATCGCCGGGTCGCACTCCCAGAGCCCTCAGCTGCGCCGCCACGCCATCCACCGCCGCCTCGAGCGCGGCGTGCGTCACGGTGGGGCCTCCCTGCGTGACTACGATGGCCGCCACGTCGCCGCGCGACTCCACGGCGGAGTGCAGCCACGCGCGGAGGGTCTGCGGCTTCGCGTCAGCCATGGCGATGCCTGATGTGCTGCCTGATTCCAACGGACGAATTCAGAGAGGTTTGAAAAAATGGCGATGCCTGAAGTGCTGTGTAATCCAGACAATAACCTTCAAGATTCACCTCGAGAATTCCGCAAAAGTCGATCCGCCGCAAACCTTAGTAACGCGACAGGCAATGCTAGCAGCGTTGATGCCACTGGGATAAGTGGTGAATGGGATGAGTGATAATGGAAAGATGAATGCAACAAGTAGGGGAAGGAATTTGAGGCTGGGGGGAATTCCCAAGGGAAATGTGACTGAGGGCGCGATCGCAAGTGGGGCCGCGGCAGTTTGCAGTTCCGCAGCAGTTTCAGCGAACACTTCCATGTTTCGTCAGCTGCATGGCGCGATTCGTCTAGGAGGGGCTCACCCGTGACGTGGCCCCGTCTTGCACCCACACATACAAGTAGTCAACAGCTGACGTGGTCTGGTTCCCCGCCGAAACACTTCCCGAACAAGCCAGCTGTCCTTAAAACTACTCGAGACCACAGAAAATGTGAAATTTTCTTGGGAAGTGCAAGTGTGAACGGTCACTCATCTCTACTACCCCAACCGAAGCGACGCTTATATCGCAACCTCGAGAACTTCGCGTGAGTGTCAAGCGGCCAGCAGGATTCACAGCCACTATTTCTGCTGAATCAGGCTCCTCTAGTGAACTCTGCGTATTAGGGTTCCGGATCGGAGCTTGAATTCGAGAGCTGTTACGAGTGAAGGATCCCGTTCTAGCATAGCAGGTTTCCGGTAGAATATCCTCATGATTGTCTAGCTTCTGATTGGGCGGGTGCTCGGAGCAGGACGTGGTGCGATCAGTTTAGAACTGTCTAGGACGACGTGTCGACCTCGAGTTTAAGTTACAAAAACTGCTGCGTTTCGTTCTAGCACTTTTCCAGCAACCGCGGTTCGTACTTGTCCTCTTATCAACCCGAAAGTATCCTCGTGTTTTGCGCTCATGGCGGCGCATTTCGCGGTAGGCCCGCAGGAAGATGACGCCATCATACGTCAGCGGCTGCTCACGCGGACCTCCGTCACTCGCGGCGAGCCGCCGATGAAAAAGCTCCTGAAGAAGTTCCTCGCTTTTACCTCAGAAGCGGCCCGGCCCGACAGCAGCATTAATGACTGCGAGAGATTAGCGCGCTCCGTGCTGCACGAATTGGCGGGATTTGAGCAGCCTCTAAACATGTCTCGCGCCGTGATCAACGCTAACCGCAGGGAGCAGGAGCACTTTCACGAGCTGACGAAACAGCTAGAAGCGGATATTATCGAGGTGCGATGGATAACCGTGTGACGACTCTGGAATTCCTCCTCGTCGAATCCTCCTCGTCCGTTTTCCTTATCATTTCCTCGTCTCAACCACGACCATTCTCCCAATTCGCCATCCTTCCTCCGCGTTGCTCCCCATCCTCCTCCCCCTACCCTCCTCCTCCTCCTCCTCCTCCTCCTCCTCCTCCTCCTCCTCCTCCTCCTCCTCCTCCTCCTCCTCCTCCTCCTCCTCCTCCTCCTCCTCCTCCTCCTCCCCTCCCCCCCCTCCCCCCCTCCTCCCCCTCTCCTCCCCCCCTCCTTTCCCCCTCCTCCCCCACTCCTCCCCCCCGCGCGCATGAACATCAGGCGGTGGCGCGAGTGGATAGCCTAATGGCGGAGGAGACGGAGGCGCGGCGGCAGCGGCAGCACGAGGAGGAGTGCGAGCTGGTGCGGCGGCAGATCGCCGCGCAGCCTGCGCGCGCGGTTTCAGAGGCGCGGATCGCGGCGCTGGAGGCGGAGGTGGAGGCGCTAGAGGCGGAGAACGTGGGCGCGGGGAGGGTGGTGGAGCTGCGGCGGAAGCAGTTCGCGCTGCTGATGCACACGGTGAGTACCAACGTGGATAGTGGAAACGGAGGTGACAGCGCATGGAAAGAAGGGTGCGCTGCGCTGCATGTGGATAGTGGATGTGGGCTGGGCGCTGTAAGCAAGCAGCTGTTGCAACGGGGGAAGGGGAAACGTGGGCGCGGTGGAGGTTGTCGGATCTGTGGCTGAAGCAGTCCACGCTCCCGTATTCAATAAACATCATATCATCATGCGTGCTTGCTTGTGTCGTGCTGTATTCATTCTCTGAGATTGCCCCCTTCTCCCATGCGCAGACGGAGGAGCTACAAGGAGCATTGGAGAAAGACCCTTCAAGAGAGTTGGCGGCAGTGGTGGCAGCAGGAGGGGGAGCAGGAGGAGGGGTGCTTGTGTCGTATTGTATTCATTCTTGTGAGTATGTCCCCCCTTCTCCCATGGGCAGATGGAGGAACTACAAGGAGCATTGGAGGAGGACCCTTCAAGAGAGCTGGCAGCAGTTGTGGCGGCAGGAGGGGGAGGAGGAGGGGGGGGAGGGGTGCCGGTGGGTGCTGGTAGGCCGTCTGCTGCAGCAGGGGTTGAGGGGAACAGAGCAGCAACACCGCCACCACCCACTCAAGTAGATGCCTCGGGTGCTTCCCCTATGACAGTTGACTCGTGACATGTCACCCCCACCCCACCACTCACTGTCCCTTCACACACAGTTGGTGCCACTCGGCTGTTCGCTGCACGAGGGGGTGGGGAGGGAGGGCAGAGCAGCAACCCCGCCACCACCCACTCAACTGGGTGCTTCGGGTGCTTCCCCCGGGACAGTTGACTCCTGAGTCTTGAGTCGTGACACCCCACCCCGCCCACATTATTGTCCCTTAACGCTGTGGAGAAATTGCTGTTTTTTCACACCCTGGTCCAGGCCCTCAGATGTCAGCGTAAAACACGCTGATTACGCTGATTTTGTAGCTCTGAATTTCGTTTTCCCTGGAAAATCAGTAAATGCTTCCATTTTGGGCTGAAATTTCAGTAAATGTGAGTTTGCCACACTGACGGTTTTGTGTGTTTCTGAACGAGTTACACTGAGGAATCAGTATACTTCAGTGCGTCACCCTGAAACGGATTTGACCGGCCGGGGGAAAGGGGGGGGGGGGGGGGGCGACGCGTGTACAGGCTGTTCCTTCGCGTGATTCACGAAACCCCACACACACTTGGAATCTTCTCACATGCGCTGTATTTACAGCTAGTGCGCGCCGAACCGTTTTGCCGCGCTGGAAGCCAGAATACCAGAGAACGACTAACCTAGTTCACAACTGCCCAATGAGAACACAGACAACACACCACTGGTGGCAGGGTCCACGCCAACACGCCAGGGATGGCAGAGTGGAGTGGGGGTGTTGTCTGTTGGGAACAATAAGTCTTAAGGCGCCTCTGTCGTGTCGAAACTCAGGACACTAGCGAAGCAGTCCAAATCGAAGCATCGCGAGTCAACCCTCGGAGGTTGGGGTAACCGCCTGGAGGTTACGCGAAGGTCAAAGGTCAGCGACCTTTGACTTGACCAATAAAGCGCGACAGCAAGGACACACAACTGACTCGACATTGAGCAGTTGCCCGAGTCGCACTGTATCGAATCGCAACAGTAAAACGGTTTAAATCTATCTATTCGTATTCCTTGTACTCTTATATAAACCTTGTATTTGCTTGTTTAATCCAACTTACTTTGCTCTCACATACTAGTGCAAGGTGGTTCAACCACTCTGTATTACAACGCTTCCGCTATTACAATCCTACTCAGTCCTTAAACTCTACAAAGATCCTAGGGCTTCTCAGCCCAACATGGTATGAGAGCAGTTAGAGTTTAAGATCATTTTCTCTCTCAATACTTAAATACAAAGAAAGAAGACATGTCTGCAAGGAAGGAGAGGAGCTCCTCCAACGGTTCCCCAGGCACTACTCCTACTCCACCTCCTGCCTCTGGCCTACAGACAGAGGAAGGCACCACCGCAAGACCAGCAGCTGGGTCCACGGAAACACCAGCAGGCTTTGATTCAAACATGATGGAGAAATTTTTCTCCTTCATGTCCTTCTACGAGCAACACCAGCAAGGAGTGCTTGCGCAGTCAAACAACAGCAACAACAACAACAATGTTACTCCGATGAGCCTCGACGGCTCATCCTATGCACGCGGGATGCAACAACAACAACAGCAGCCTACCTTTGCGCCGTACGAGCCCCAACGTGGCTCCGTCAGCTTCATGCCGCAACCGCAACCTTCATCGGGACAAGAAAGGACATTGGACGCGTTACAAGTCCAATCGCAATTCGCGCACGTCCTAAAACTACAAACGACAAAGCCTTTCGACGGCAAAGATTTCTTTACCTGGTCGTTCGAGTTTGAACTGATGATGGAAGGAGCACAGATTCTTGGCTTCTTCGACGGGTCCCTGCCATATCCGACAAACGGGACACAATATGAGAAGCAGCAGTATACATATCAATCGATGATGGCGTACACGATTCTGCTGAGGAACATCACCCCAACCCAGCAGCAGAACATCAGGACTTACCGAGGCTACGGCAACTCCGCGGAGCTCGCGTACAACCACCTGAAGAACCTGTATCAAGCAACAGACAGCGTAAACCAAAGCAGGTTAATGGCGCAGTTGACAACGATTGAAATGAAACCAGGCGAGAAAGGCATGGCTTATATCAGCCGCTGCCGCGAACTGCGCGACAAGCTCCTTCGATGCGGCGGGTCAATTTCAGAAGACGCCTTTGTCACGGTGGTCATCGGCGGTCTCGGCCCCCACTGGCGCTCCACTCGCGCCATATTACGAGCACACGGGAGGATCTCCGAAGCGGCACTCTGCGCCGAAATTCATGCTGAGCAGCAGGACATGGACCTGCAAGAAGAAAGACACAAGAAGAAAGCTTTAGCACCAGAATTTGCTTTTCACACTCAGCGACGACACAACGGCAACAACAATCGACAACAGCAAGTGAAAACGGTACCTCCGTTCTGCCACATCTGCAAAACCTCGGGCCATCCTCGCACGCATTGCCCGTCTCGTCAGACGACACCACAGCGACAACTGCGGCCTTCAAGCTCCCAAGTTGTTTCAACGCAAGCAAGTCCGACAACCACGATCCAAGCTTCAACGACTTCAACTGGACAACCTGCACAAGGAGCAAGAAGCATCGTCAACTGCATGGTAAAGATAAACGATTCCTGCATTACAAAGTCGCCACCCTACTACTCACCAGAAGAGGAGCTCGACAACAGGACGCCTCGCCGCGAATCACTCCAGCCGAATCCGACGTACGCCGCCATCGCTCAAAGCGAACCGTCCGGCCAAGACACTTGGTTCTTGGATAGTTGCTGCGGACAACACATGTGCTCCTCCGGGCGCTTCGTACAACGCGAACATCGACTCCAGCGAGAAGTAGTCATCACGGTCGCCAATAACCAGAACCTGCGGACAAGACGACAAGGAGTCGTTCAGCTTCAATCAAGAGAGACCAACGTTATACTACACATGTCAAAAGTACTCATCGCAGAAGGACTCGGTTACAACTTACTGAGTGTTAGCCAGCTGATGGCGAAGGGGATTCACTTGGAAGCCGACAGCACCACCCAGGAATTTAAGTTATACCACGGGAGGGGCGGCCTCTACATCGGGAAAGCAGTGTTGAAGAATAACGTCTTCGTTCTTGACTTCGTCCCCGACCTGGGCACTGCAGACAGCGACGCCATCGTCAACTTTACCGACTGGACACACCCTCCGGACCTCGATCCTGATTTCAGTCCAGGAGGCTTCTGGTACTCACACACCATCCCTGAAGCAGAGCGAACACGAGCATTAGCAACAATTCAACAATCGGCAGCAGTAGAGACAACATCGGCAGCAGCAGAAACAACATCGGCAGCAGCAGAGACAACATCGGCAGCAGCAGAGACAACATCGGCGGCAGCAGAGACAACATCGGCAGCAGCAGAGACAACATCGGCAGCAGCAACAACATCGGCAGCAGCAGGAACAACGACACCAGTCATCGTCGACGAAACACCACCAACACCCGCACAACAGCTGAACCCGACTCAACGAGAAGTCCACCGCAGCGCCAACTTCGTCGCCAGCTTCTACTCCAACTCCGACGCATATCAACGTTCACCCGGACACCGCGCCTCCGAAGACATCTGGCACGCACGCACAGGACATCCAAGTAACACGGTGTTAAATAACACGATACGAGCAGGAGTGCTAGACAAAGACTCGCTACTACTACTCGACGGCAGAGAACTTCAACGTGCACGGGGGACTTGCCTCATCTGCCCCGAGGCCGACCTACCACATCGACCTTTTTCTTCTAACCACAACCCGAGCGCACCTGCATACGCACCACTCGAAAAAGTCTACAGCGACATCCTCTACAATCGAGAACCAGGTCAAGTAACCTATAATTACACGATTACCTTCATCGACGCCGCCACTCGATACGTCTGGCATCGCAACCTACCCAGCCGCGACATGGCACTCGCAGCATTCGCTGCTTGGCTACCGGTAGCAGAAAGGGAATCAGGAACGCAGCTGAAAAGCTTCCAGTCAGACGGAGGTGGCGAATACACCTCTCAGCGCTTCAAGCAGTACCTGGCGGAAAGGGGGATCAAGCAACTCCTCTCCCTTCCCTACGCACATCAGCAGCAGGGTGTTGCAGAAAGAATGAACAGGACCCTGCAGAACATCATGCGCAAACTACTACATGGCATGCGGCTACCCATCCACCAGTGGCCAGCAGCAATGGACCATGCTGTCATGCTGCACAACTTGCTTTCATCGTCGTCACTCCCGAACAACGCGTCACCACATCTGCTGTGGACAGGAAAGCAGGGCAGCACAAAAATGTTACGAGTATTTGGGTGCATGGTACAGTACCGACCCCCAGAAGCACGAGCGGGAAGATTTTCCCAACGGGCACAGTGGGGACTACACCTCGGCATCGAGAAAAATTACAACGCATGGAAAATCTTCGACGTCCACTCAAAGGAAACAGTAGCAGCACGTGATGTGATCTTCTACGAAAGGCTCACCCTTCAGACGTACCTCGCCAACTTGCACAAGTATCAGGACCCCACAGGTGGCTTTCGTGGTGACTGAGCCTTCGCCTCAGCAGCGGACGAAGCAGACTGGGATGAACAGAACGTCGACAACGCATCGGAGGAAGCCGGACCTCTCCCGTACTGCTCCGTCGATGTGCCCATGGATGAAGATAATCCTCGCGACAGTAACAACGCCGAAGTCTTCTACCACTTCGCCGACAACGGTTACGTAACACCTGCGACAGTCAACACCAACGAAGCAGAAAGGATAGGGCCAAATTTCATCCCCGACCCAGAAGCGGGAGACGAAGCAGCTTATCCCGAGGATCCAGAACTCCCTCGATACTCTCAGACTGGGCTACAAATCCTTGGCCTCGTCACCGCAGTCCACGGGACCGCCGGCAACACTCTTCCTAAAGAGCCTGCGACAGTTCAGCAGGCTCTGGGGGGGGAACACAGGGAAAAATGGCGTGAAGCCATGGACAGGGAATTAAAGGCATTGGAGGAACGCAACACCTGGAAGGTCGTTCCCGCAAGCGTGGCACGGAACAAGACCATTCTCACCGGGAAATGGG